GATCTTTCAGTGGCTGGCTCAATGTCCCCCAGAGTGAAATTCACTTCACTGGATAAATCCCTAGTTGCTGTGCTCTGCAGAGGGGTGGGGAGCTGGATTCCATCCCCCATTCCTGGGAATGGACCTCCCCCCCCATCTTCACCCCGATGTCGGACACTACCCCAACCTTCCCTGCAGTGATGGACCCACTTGATGCTGCCAGAGCCATCTACCATGGGACCTAGAGGGGGCAGAGGCCCAGCTCCAGAACTGCTACCCTTGCCCACAGCCCCCATGCTATGCTGGAGTTGCCCTGGCTTTCCTGTCTGCAGATGTGTCTAGCTGTCTGGGGACCCAACCTGTGCACCCACCACACACAAACTTTCTCACAACACACATCCCAGGATGGGGAAGGACCCTCTGGGGCTGGCTGCAGTCTCCCCTTGCTGCTGTGAGAGGAATGGGGTAGTCCCTTATATAGGACACAAACACACCCATGGGCAGATGTGAAATGTAGTTTCTTCCAGGGGCTTGAAATGTTTGGTTTAGAGTCTGGAGCTCTGTCTTCCTGTTTATGTCTCCTTCTGCCACTTTCAGACCTCTTGGAGAGACAAGGTGGGTGAGGTAACTTTTTTTAAAACCAATTAAAAATCCCTCTCTTTGATATCCTGGGACCTACATGGCTACAATAACTCTTTTCTCTTTTTACCCTCTCTCACCTCCCCGTCAGCTGAGACTGTCCCATGTAATGGGAAAATAAGGGTTCAGTCCTGTCACTGAATTGGGTCTTGCCAGCACTAACAGGGGTGAAAGTCTGTGTGCATTAATGACAGAAGCAGCTCTGGGACTTGGAGACATAGGGAGAAGAGATTGGAGTTTGCAGGTGATATTTGTGCAGGGTGTAAGTTACTCATGAGGGAATTCTGTGCCACTGTATACGAGCAGAATTTACGTCCGGTGCAGACGTCCTTTTTTTTTTTTTTTTTTTTGCATGGAAAAAATGCTTTCTGCCTGAGAAGTGCTGCAGTTCTGCCTTTCACCTACCAGAGGCCTCTGTGCACCAGAACAGCTCAGCAGCCAGCTGGGTTCATGTTGGTGGGAAATTGTTGCCCTGAGCTACACTCGAAATGGGAAGAGAATTAGTGGGTGCAACTTGGGAGAGTCCTGATGTTACACTAATAAAATAAGACAAACAGGATCTTGTAAAAGGGACAAGGCAAAATGCCACGTTTATTGTAAATAAAAATATAGAAAACACACACTACTATATTACTATGTATTCCTTACTTATCCATAGATACATTCATACAAGTTCTGCATAGTTGTTATAGTTACCAGCCTAGAAGTTGCTCATGACAGAGTACTGGCCTGTACACGAGAGTGGAGCTGAGTCCGTCAGAGGCGCATCCGATGCTCTTGGAGGGTGGTGGCAGAACCGGAGACTCTCAGTTCTCAGAGTCCATTTTTATAGGAATTTGTTCCTGTGCCAGTCCATGGAAATTGCTTCATCATATTGTTCGTCATGACGGCTCCAGGACAGCTGTCAGGTGCTCATCAGCTTTCTTCATCCTTTGAATCAGTTCGGGTGGATTCCAGTTTGCCGTCCGGGGGTTCTCTGGTTGTTTCCACCTGGCGCCTTCTTCAGCCGATTGACACCGAATTCCTAGGCTGGCACTTCCCTGATTATTCAAAACCAATCATTCATTCATATACATTCTTTACTATAATAAGAGCGCATTTATCGTTTCACTGAGTATTGTTATTTATTTGAGACTCCCTGTCTCTTAACATTCCTTCAATATTTCTGACTGTCTTAACATTCCTTTAACATTACTGATACAAAGGTGTTATTTATTTGAGACATTCCTTTAATATTCCTAATACAGAGGTGTTATCTATTTGAGATTCCCTGTCTTTTAACATTCCTGATACAAACTATAGAGGGTGGGAGTCTCTATGTGATATTTCTATGAGCGCTGTGCCAATTAATGGCTTTCCATGGTTGTTACAAAAAAGTGTCCATCTCCCTTACAAAGTATCAGTTTACAGAGTCAATTGAGCAGAACCAATTGGAAAGTAAAGTCAATTGAGCGGTTTGCATTCATAAGTGTCAATATCAATTACAAGCAAGGGAAAGGTTTCAGAGGAGCAGCCGTGTTAGTCTGTATTTGCAAAAAGAAAAGGAGGACTTGTTGCACCTTAGAGACTAACAAATTTATTTGAGCATAAGCTTTCGTGAGCTACAGCTCACTTCATCGGATGCAGCTCAAATAAATTTGCTAGTCTCTAAGGTGCCACAAGTACTTCTTTACTTTAAGCAAGGGAAAGTATCAGTTTAGAGAGAGTAGAGTCAATTGGGCGGTTTAGGTTTACAAGCCTCAATCTCAATCACAAGGTATCAGTTTAGGGAAGGGAGCATCACTTAAAGTTAATTAATGGCTTACAAGGTACTTAGTCAATTGATGGTTTGCAAGCTTTAACACAGACAACACACAAACACAGTCAGCAGCTATGGAGAGCTGCAAATCAATATTACAGAATTATTTCAAATAAGGGAATTACAATTATTACAAGAATTACAAATATTATGACAATTATTCCAAGTAGGAGAAATACAAATATTATGAACAAAATTACAAATATTAAAAATATGCCTCCATAAAATATGCCTACACTGAGACACGGGTGCCCCTGGGGGTGGAGACAGGGTGGTTATTCTCTACTCACAAGGGGGTGTGGAAGGGGAACAGGAGGAGTAAGTGTCCCTCGTGAAGACTGCCCACCCCAGCTGCTTCTGCCCCACACCTAACCCCAAACCTCTTCACCTCTCCAAGGATCAGCTGCCAGTCTTCCCTCACTGCTACCCCTTCCTGATTGGCAGAGAACCTCTAAGCCCTCCCCCCTTCTCTTTAACTCTGAAAGTTGCCTTGCCCAGGACTTCGCTGCCTGTGTGAATGGCAGGTAGGGATGGGGAGCCATCACCTTCTGGGTATTTACTGGACATTCATCTAGTCACTGCCCCCTTCATTCATGCAGAGGTAAGGTTGCCCAGCCACGTGCTCTGGGCTCCAGACTCAGCTAATAGGAAGTCAAGAGCACAACAGCCATCTTTTGCCTCCTTTAACATCCCATACTAGTGTATCTGGTGTTGATGGACCTCTCCTGCCAGGCAGGGTGTAATGCAGTCTGTTGCCAATCAGCACTTCACATAGGTAAAGTCTCTCTCCTGTCCGGTGATTTACAGAGGCTCACAGTGCAGCTAGTCAGATATTAACCCAGGCAGCAACTCACAAGCATTCAATAAAGTCTAAACACTAAACACATTCTTATAATTCTCATACCTGTTCTAATAATACTAACACAGGTGAGCCAGACTGATTCCAGCTCTGCGTTTGTCCATGTTAAATTAAGACATGGGGTTTTTTGCAAGAGCTAACACCTCATCTGCCAGTGTCACAGGCAGGATGGGCAGGGATGGTGTTTCTAGCCTCTGTTTGCCAGGAGCTGGGAATGGATGACAGGGGATGGATCACTTGATGATGACCTGTTCTGTTCATTCCATCGGAAGCACCTGGCATTGGTCACTGAGCTAGATGGACCACTGGGCTGAAGCAGTGGGCCGTTCTTCTGTTCACAGTCTCTATCAGGTGTATCTACTCATTTGGACTCACTGGGGAGCCACAGAAAGAAACAAGATGTGGTGAGTCAAGAAGGCCCAGTCTGAGAGCCCCCAGAGTCATGCTTTCCAAAAGCTAAAAAGGGGGCACTCCCAGGAGAGACTGTATAAAGGCTGGAGCATCAAACAACTTTATAAACCTGAGACAGCTGCCTTGGGCACAATGACAGGGAGAATTCCCCCAAAGTGACTCCTTTGATTCTGCTCTTCTCTGGCCTTTGGTTCATAGAATAACAGAACTGGAAGGAACCTTGAGAAGTCATCAAGTCCAGTCCCCTGCACTCAAGGAAGGACTAAGTATTATTTAGAACATCCCTGAGAGGTGTTTGTCCAGCCTGCTCTTAAAAAATCCCAATGATGGAGATTCTACAACCTCCCTAGGCAATTTATTCCAGTGCTTAACCACTCTGACAGTTAGGAAGTTTTCCCTAATGTCCAACCTAAACTGCCCTTGCTGCAATTTAAGCCCATTGCTTCTTGTCCTGTCCTCAGAGGTTAAGAACAACAAATTTTCTCCCTCCTCCTGTAACAACCTTTTATGTACTTGAAATCTGTGATCACGTACCACCTCAGTCTTCTCTTCGCCAGACTAAACAAACCCAGTTTTTTCAATCTTTCCTCATAGGTCATGTTTTCTAGACCTTTAATCATTTTTGTTGCTCTTCTCTGGACTTCTCCAAGTTGTCCACATCTTTCCTGAAATGTGGCACCCAGAACTGGACACAGTACTCCAGTTGAGGCCTAATCCACACGGATTAGAACGGAAGAATTACTTCTCATGTCTTGCTTACAGTACTCCTGCTAATACATCCCAGAAATGATGTTTGCTTTTTTTTTTACAACAGCATTACACTGTTGACTCTTATTTAGCTTGTGATCTACTGTGACCCCCAGATCCCTTTCCATTCTACTCCTTTCTAGGCAGGTATTTCCCATTTTATATGTATGCAACTGATTGTTCCTTCCTAAAGTGAGTACTTTGCATTTGTCCTTATTGAATTTCATCCTTTTTACTTCAGACCATTTCTCCAGTTTGTCCAGATCATTGTGAAATTTAATCCTGTCCTCCAGAGAGCACTTGCAACCCCTCCCAGCTTGGTATTGTCCGCAAACTTTATAAGTGTAATTGAGAGACTCTGTTACGGGGAGGGTTTCACCATGTTTCACAGCGTTACACCCTGGTGGGAGGGGGCTAGACCTGTACTGGAATAAGGTCACTCTGTGCTTCACAGTGTGGCAGAACCTAGAATGTCCATTAGCAGGGAAAAATCCTGGGGGGAATTGGCTTGTGGAATGGATAAAAGCCCCGTCTGAATTCTCTCACATTCCCTTCTCGCCCTGACAGGCTACAGAATAACGTTCACGTTTCACTCCAGATCATCCCATCCTCCCAGGGGGAAGGAAATGGCTGCAATGGATCTGGCTCAGGTAAGGGATTATGTGGGAGCTGGTGGTGGGTTCTGCTTGGAGGGAAAGGATCAGTAAAAGCATAGGAGGGTGGGAGCTGGTAGAGGTGGTGGGAGGCAGGAAATATCTAGGGTGGAGAAAGGGAGGGGATAGGATTTGAGAAACCTGCTGAGACTTGTGTAATGTAGGGTGTGATCGATTGTCACCCGGGGTGCAGTTTGAGGGGCTTTTGGGAACCGCTGTGCTCTCTAACCTTCAACCTGGGCTGGCCCTTCTCACACTGCTTTGCTGAAGATTCAGCCAGCCTCTTGGGGCCCATTTATCACCCAACACGATAGCAGGTGGTACCATGCATCCAACTAAGCTACCTGAGTGTTTTACCTAAGCCACTCAAGGACAGATAGAAGACAACAGCTGATTTCCCAGCTCCCCAGTTTTGCACCCATGCTGGAGTTTAAACCCAGAATTATAATTTCTTACACGGGACAGGGATCTGTACAATATAAACTCATGAATATAGTTTTCCTCCGTCTTGATGTGGGAAAGAACTGCACAACAAGCTTGTGTTAACCAAGCTGGGACTTCCCCAGACACTTCACTGAAAATACACTGGCTAAGATAAAACATAAAACAAGTTTAACAACTACAGAAAGATAGATTTTAAGTGATTATATGTGATAGCAAACAGATTAGTTTAGATTACTCAGAAAATAACTAAAAACTCAAACTAAGCCTAGCATACTAGATGGATAGAATTTGAATTAGCAATTTCTCACCCTGAGTGATGATACAAGCAGTCCACCAAGTTTCCATAAACAAGCTAGAAATCCTTTTACCCTGGGAACAGAACTTCCCCTCAGTTCAGTCTTTGTTCCTGAGGTGTTTCCAGGAATTCTTCTGTGCGGGGAATGAGGCCAAGAGATTGTCACACCCCACCTTTTGTACCTGTTCCATATGGCAGGACTCCTTTGTTCCAAACTCAGTTCCCAGACCAGTTTGTGGAAAAATACAGGTACCAAAATGGAGTTCATTGTCATGTGGTCTGGTCACATGCCCTAGCATGCCCTGCTGAGTCATAATATCCATGACTCATAGGCCGGCTGAAACATTCAGAGGAAGGCTAAGCTCTTCCATGGTCCATTGTCTTTGTTAATGAGCCATCAGCACGGTCTGGCTTCTTCATTGTTGTATCTGAAAGGTTAGTTGTGAATGTTACCCAGAGTAAGCACATTTGAAATATAGATACGTACTCAATATCCATAATGTCAGATACAAACATGATCCATGCACACAAATAGGATAATCATATTCAGCAAATCATAACTTTTCCAATGACACCACACATGATGCATCTTGAGCAAAATGCATCATAATTATGTCCTAATCATATTATAATCATATCACGATGCTAAATATGGGGTGTAATGTCCGATAGGGCCTAATTTCAAGGCACAGGAGTTGGGAATGGAACTTCCCCTCTCTGTGGAACAGGAAATAACCCTCCAGCCAGGGCTGGGAAAACTTCCCAGACTCCCTGTGCCAGAGCCTGAATCTACTGACACTTGATTAGTTACCACCACCCCCAATCTTTGTGGCACCTGCAAACTTTATCAGTGATGTTTTTATATTCTTTTCCAGATCATTGATAAGAATGTTAAATACTAGAGGGCCAAGAACCAATCCCTGCAGGAACCCCCTAGAAATAAATCCACTTGATCATGGTTCGCCATTTACAATCACAGTTTTTAATCTATTTAATGTATGCCGTGTGTATTTAGTGTCATTCTAGTTTTTTCGTCAAAATATTGTGCTGAACCAAGTCATATGGCTTACGGAAGTCTAGGTATATTATATCAATACTATTAGCTGCAACCAAACTTTTGATCTCATCTAATAAGGATATCCAGTTCGTATGATAGGATCTATTTTCTCTAAACCTTTGTTCATGGGTACTAATTATATTACCCTCTTTAAATCTTTATTAATGAACTCCAGTATCAGCTGCTCCAGTATGTTGCCGAGTATTGGTGTCAGACTGATACTCTTGTAATTAGCTGAATTATCTCTTTTCTACTTTTTAAATATTGGCACTGCATTGGCTTTATTCCAGCCTGATGCAATTTCCCTGGTGCTCCAAGTCCTAATTAAAATCAACATTAACAGTCTACCACACTCCTCCACCAGGTCTTTTAAAACTCTTGGATACAAGTTATCTGGACCTGCTGATTTAAACATGTCTAACTTTAATAGCTGCTGTTTAATGTCCTCGTGAATTCTTGTTGGAATGGAAAGAGTGTCGTCGTCAATATCTTATGGTATGACTACATCATCTGGTTTTCTCCAAATCCAGGAGAGAAATATTTATTGAAGACTTTTACTTCTTCTGCATTATTTTTGATCATTCTGCCATTTCTGTCTAATAATTTACCGTTACCATTGTTAGGATTAATTTTTTACTTTAAACACAAAGGTTCTCTCTACTCTCTGATGCCTCCTGGCTGCTCTAACCAAGGTGGGGTGGGACTCTGTTAACATGTGCCTCCCGGAGCTTCCATTTACCTGGTGCTGCTGTTCCCTGAATAGTGGGGCTGTGAGTGGGGCAGCAGGTACTGAATGTGGGACTCTTGCTCTTTCAGGGGCCGGTGACTTTCGAGGAGGTGGCTGTGTATTTCACCAGGGAAGAGGGGGCTCTGCTGGACCCCACTCAGAGAGCCCTCTACAGAGATATCATGCAGGAGAACTATGAGACGGTGGTCTTGCTGGGTAAGGAGTCCTGTCCCCTCGGTTATTAAAAGCTGTGGTGTCTCCAAAGAACCTGAGTCATAATAACTTTTTACCTTCATTCGCCATACAAGTTTTGACAAGTGTCCTTGCCCCCCCTTTTTGCCTTATCTCGCACCCACTAGTATAATTTTTGGACATGTGCCTTTTCGGTGCCATCAGTCATTTTAAAATTTCATTTAATGTATCCTTATTGGCTTTATTAATAACGACATTAATAACTGTAGCTTTCATGCCTTTTCCTCACTTTAAGAGGAAAATATGCCTCCTGTAGAATTCTAAATTGAGTAAATAGGTGTATGGCTCATGCATGGCTTGTGTGACAGTCCGATGAGCTCTCCTTTTGATAGGAGAGCTCATAATTTTGCCATTCAGGACCCCACGGGTGAAAGGAGAACAGAGTTGTGGGAGGGGAGGAGAAGTAGGGGAGTAGATAATTCTGGGGTGCCAGGACATGGGGAGGGTGTGTGCAGAATTAGAGATAAGAAGCAGAGGGGAAGGATGAAGTAGTGAGAGACAAGGAGGGAACACAAAAAGCTCCCAAAGTGCCGGGAGGTGATGACGGCTGAGAGTAATGGGAAGAAGGGGAGGGGGAGTGTGGAGGAAGGTCACCCAGAGCTGGGTGGGTCAGTGGGAGGGAGGAGAGGTTTGGGGAGCTAGAGCTGTGGGGGATCCCAGACCTTTAACCCCGAATCCTACCCAGACCTTGTTGCTTTAGAGCCTACGCTCCAGTTTTATTTCTGTTCAGTTTCACTTCATTATACATTTTTCCCCAAATGTTGTTGTTTTTATGCTTGACCTCCCTCTCCCATTCATTACCCCCTCCCCATCTCTATGCACAGCGACCCTGGCCATGGATCCTGGGTCCTTGCTGCATTCCTCCCTTCCGTAGCAGGGCCACTACCCAGGCACAAATGGACACGTTGATGATGATGTGACAGGGTGGTGGTGTAGCCTGTACAATTTTTACACCTACGTATTGGGGTACAACTTGCCCTTGTCCATGGCTACTCAAAGTTAATTGAGAAGATGGAATTTGGTGAAACATACAGAAGCTTGATTTAATACAGACAGTTATAATTGAAATCATAGGCAAGGATCAAGACACATAACGATTAGACTAAGTTAAGTATAGTAAAGAGGGTCTTGCATTGTGCATACTTCCAAGTTATGGACACCATTGGAAACAAAGATCATGGGGCAAGGGAGACCATCAGAAGGGAGGCCCTGCTTCAGTTTACACTGTCTCGGGGACCTGACAAAATGAAAAAATGGTAACTAGAAGAGGTATTTTATCCAGTTCCTTATGGTAATAGGATGGCTATATCCCATATCTGCTCCTTTACTCTGATTACAATAATGTCAATAGCTGCCCCAACCCATATGTGGCCTTTGGAAAGTCCATAATTAAGCATCAAGCATTAATACTCATGATTTACATCACTTATTTATCAATAATTCCAAGATATGAATGTGTCCAACTGCTGAGATACTGCATAGCAACCTAATTGCTAAAACCCACCCCAAACTTTCTTCTTTCAGAATCGTGTGGCATATTGCACCTGTTTGTGGTTACTCAGTAGTCTCTCAAAATGAGGGTGCAAAATGTCTGACCTGGGATTCTCTCTTTAGGCCTATTCAGGTAAATCCCAGACTTCAGCATAACTACTCCCACAAAGCCTCAACCTAATGTAAGGCCCTTATTATAAATATAAAGGGAAGGGTAACCACCTTTCTGTATACAGTGCTATAAAATCCCTCCTGGCCAGAGGCAACATCCTGTTACCTGTAAAGCGTTAAGAAGCTCAGCTAACCTGGCTGGCACCTGACCCAAAGGACCAATAAGGGGACAAGATACTTTCAAATCTGAAGGGGGTGGGGGGGGAAGGCTTTTGTTTGTGCTCTTTGTTTACATGGTTGTTCTCTCTTGTGACTGAGAGAGTCGAGACAGAAATACATCTTCTCCAACCCACCCTAATCCAAGTCTCCAATATTGCAACCAGTATAGGTAAGCCAGGCAAGGCGGATTTGTTTATCTTCTGTTTTAAGTGAATTTTCCCTGTGTTAAGAGGGAGGTTTATTTCTGTTTTCTATAACTTTAAGGTTTTGCCCAGAGGGGGATCCTCTGTGTTTTGAATCTGAATACCCTGTAAAGTATTTTCCATCCTGATTTTACAGAGGTGATTTTTACCTCTTTTTTTTTTTTAATAAAATCCCTCTTTTAAGAACCTGACTGATTTTTCCATTGTTCCAAGATCTGGGGGTTTGGGTCTTTGATGATTTTGTAACCAATTAGTTAAGATATTATTCTCAAGGCTCCCCAGGAAAGGGGGTGTGTAGGGCTTGGGGGGATATTTTGGGGGAAGATGTCTCCAAGTGGTCTCTTTCCCTGTTCTTTGTTTAAAACGCTTGGTGGTGGCAGCATACTGTTCAAGGACAAGGCAAAGTTTGTACCTTGGGGAAGTTTTTAACCTAAACTGATAAGAATAAGCTTAGGGGGTCTTTCATGCGGGTTCCCACATCTCTACCCTAGAGTTCCGAGTGGGGAAGGAACCCTGACAGCCCTTAACTGGAGCAAGCTTAATAACCCATTTATTTATGTTCACCTCCTTGCCCCTCCATGCATGTTCCAAGCTGATAATGACATTTTACCTCTAGCGAGTATAAAATTGCCCACAAGACATGATACACTGGGCATGGCAACACTTGCAGATGTAGAGCACTGAGAGTTAAACCAGCCCTCGGAGAGTGCAGTAGAGAAAGCGCAGCAGTGTGTTCACACTGTCAGCTACAAGCGCACTGGTGTGGCCACATTTCCAGCACTTGCAGCAGCATTGGGAGCGGTGCATTATGGGCAACTATCCCACAGAGCACCTTTTCCCATTCTGGCGCTGTTGCTTGTGGGAAGCGGGGCGGAGAGGGGTGCAGCATTCTAGGTCCTGGCCCAAAGCCATACGATGCATCGCTTTGTATCCCAGCAATCCCTGTGCTTCTGTCCACATTTGGCGCCATCTGTCAATGTTTTTTTTCTACTGCATGGTCTGTCTTCCTTTTCGGTCTGCGGAATATGCTGATGGGTCTCGCCAGCACGTTACGAACGGCAGTCGACTTACTCCTTAAGCTACAAACTGATAGTGAGGAGTCCGACGATGATGTCGACTCGCATAATGCATATGACACAAGATTCTTTGTGGCATTCACGGACATGCTCACCACCATGGAACTCCACTTTTGGGATCAGGAAACAAGCACTAAGTAGTGGGATCACGTCGTCATGCAAGTCTGGGATGACGAGCAGTTGCTGCAGAACTTTTGGATGAGAAAAGCCACTTTCCTGGGATGGTGTGCTGAACTCGCCCCCACCCTGCGGCACAAGAACACGAAATTGAGAGCTGCCCTGACAGTGGAGAAGTGGGTGGCTATTGCAATCTGGAAGCTGGTAACTCCAGACAGCTACCTATCGGTCGCTAACCAGATTGGAGTGGGGAAGTCGACCGTTGGAATCCTGTTAATGCAAGTTTGCAGGGCCATTAATCCCATCCTGCTCAGAAGAATCATGACTCTGGGTAATGTGCATGACATTGTGGATGGCTTTGCACAAATGGGTTTCCCTAACTATGGAGGGGCGATAGATGGGACGCATATTCCAATTTTGGTACCAGCCCACCTAGCCTCCAAGTATGTTAATCGGAAGGGGTATTTCTCTGTGGTTCTCCAGGCACTTGTGGATCACATTGGGCGTTTCATTGACATTACCTTAGGCTGGTCTGGAAAGGTGCATGACACACCCATCTTTTGGAATGCAGGCCTGTTCAGGAAGCTGCAAGCAAGGACTTTCTTCCCAGACCAAAAGATCATTGTAGGGGAAGTCGAAATGCCCATTGTGATCCTTGGAGACCCTGCTTACCTTTTAATGCTGTGGCTTATGAAACCCTACACAGGGAGCCTTGACAGCATCAAGGAGTGGTTCAACAACAGCCTGAGTCGGTACAGAATGACTGTGGAGTGTGCTTTTGGCCATTTAAAGGGCTGCTGGCGCTGTCTGTATGGGAAGCTGGAACTGGCTGATGACAACATCCCCCTGGTTATATCCATGTTTTCTACCCTCCATAACATTTGTGAGAGGAAGGGTGAAAGATTCACCCAGGCATGGACCTTGGAGGTTCAAGACCTGGAGGCTGAATTTGAACAGCCAGAGAGCAGGGCTTTTGGAGGGAACCTAGCACGGGGCTGCAAGGATTAAGGAGCAATTTGAGGTTGAAAGCCACCAGTAATGTTTGGTGCCCTGCACAGGAGTGAAGTGCAGTGGTTCCAATGTTAGTAGGAGTCTGTTTGCTACACTGACTTGCAGTGCCTGTTGCTTTCCTGGCTAAGGTATCTTCTACTTAACGCAATAATAAAGAATGTTTTCAAAGCCAAAAAATCCATTTATTGAAAAGAAAATTCAATTATTGAAAAGAAACACAACTGCTTGGGAAGCAGAAAGGGAAAGTGGGTGGGCTGGGGAACGGTTCAATCACAGATTTGCGTATGTCCGGTTATCATACTCAGCCTTCCTGTCTGGAGTGCTGTGCAATGAATGGATGGTAAAATGCATGGTGATGGGGGTTGAGCGCAGTGGGTAAAGGTCGTAGTTTGCAGGGCTGGGTGGTGAAGCTACAGATGTTGGAGGCAGTGGGTAGTGATAAGAACCTGCATGTTGGGGAAAGTGGGTTGGAGGTGACATGGCGGCACAAGGGAAAGCGTTTTGGGAGAAGGGCTGCAAGGGGGGCGGGTGCGGAAGTGCTCTGCCTACATTGGTATGAGCGCCTGTATCGAGTCCACTTAACGCTCCATAATGCTTAGCAGCCGCTCCGTGCTTTGGTGCCGGCGATCCACATTTTGCTGGCACCCTCCTTTCCCTCTCCCCCGGCTCCTGCACTTTTTGATTTTTATTAAGGGACTGCTGCATTACTTCATGCAGCAAGTCCTCTTTGCTTCTA